ATACCAATTTTCCAAAATGAATAGAATTATTATGTATTACAACACATATCAATAAAAACTTTTAAAATTGCCTAGTAAAAAATGTTATGCTAAGCAACAGAAGCCAGAGAAAGTATTTCTCATATTATATGAAACTGTTTATATGAAATATCCAGAATATATAAATTTATAGAGTCAGAATGCAAACTGCTGGTTGGTAGAGACTGGAGATGGAGTGGGGAACAGAGAGAAACTGCTTAATGGGTTGAGTTTTTAAGTGATGGAAATGTTTCAGCACTAGATAGAAGTAATGATTATACAACACTAAATATAGTAAATGCCACTGAATTGGGCACTTTAAAATGGTTAATTTCATGGTATGTGAACAAACCTTCCTTTTCTTTTCCCTTTTCTTCCTTCCTTCCCTTTCCTCTTTTTTCCTCTTCCTTCTTCTTTTTTTTTCTTTCTTTCCTCTCTCTCTCTCTTTCTCCTTCTTTCTTTCTTTTTCTTCTGGGATCAAACCCAGGGTCTCACGCATGTTAAGTTCTGACATTGAGCTATACCTCTAGCCCTAATGAATTATTTTTGAAAAATAAAAAATAATGTATTGCCCTGGAAAGAACTTCTGAAGTACAAAAGTTTATTGTTGAAAGAAACTTATGGAATCAGTTAATTAATATACCTCATTTCTGTAGGTAAGGAAACTAAATTGCCAAACAGTGATATGATGTGCTAGTGGCCTTCCAGGCAAGGAATAGAGCAAATGTCTCTTTTACTAGTTTGTTATGTTTTCCTTATTCATCAGCTTTTATGTCAGAAAGCAACATAATAGAGCTTGCATTTCAACAGTCTGTAAATACTTTTTCTTCTGGAAAAAGTGTAGAGAAGAAATTTTAGTACATCCCATTAGTACATTTGGGACCCACCTGGACAGTGATAAATATGAATAAACAATTTTAATTTTTCATTGTCAACTTTTATTTGCCTGAGTAAGATGTATGAGTAATCCTTCTTGATGGAGAAAAAAGATTTAACTATCTTCATTTGGTTTTAGAACAGCTTGTGGTCTAGATGATTCCAAGGCATTTACTTCAAATAAAATTAAATAAAGTCAGTCTGTATTACTTATTTTACCTTCTCTCCCTCAGGCTCCTTCTCTGTTTTTTCTCTTTCAACTTCTAAATCTTCACATCCCACCCCACCTCTAAATTCTGGCAAGCCACAGTGATGGATCATAGGATTATAATAAGCATCTTCCATAAACTAATGTTCCTTCCCTTGGATTTCATCTTTTCCTTTTTTCAGCTCCTTCTTAGTTTTTAAACATATACAGAAATATGGATTTTATTAAACTCCTTTAAACAAAATTTAAAATATTACCATAATAAATCATTATTAATATATACTGCTGTAATAAAAAAAAAACACCTTTTTCCCGAGAGGTTTATTTTCCCAGGAGTTGGAATCTAATACCTAGTCTGACTTAATGAATTAGGAATTTTTTCTGAAAGTTACCTCTTCAATGAGAAATTTCTTAAATCTACTTGAAGACATTTTAATACTAAATCAGAGATAATATGATGACAGTCATCTGAATGGTACTTGTAAATATAATTACCATGGGTTCTAAGGAGATGTACAGCAAAAGCTCCATAGGGGACTGAAAGGAGATTTAAAAAAAAAACAAAAGTAGCTTTTCAGCACTTGCCTTACTGTGGTCTGTATATCCGGGTCCTCCTTTCCCTCCAATTCACATATCAAAACCCTAACCCCTAATGTAATGTATTTTTGGAGTGAGGCCTTTGGGAAGTAATCATGTCATGAGGGTGGAACCCTTACAATGGGATTAGTAATCACCATTTCTAAGTAGAGATGAAAGAGAGATGATCTCCCTGCCACATGAGGACAGAGCAGGAAGGCAGTCTGCAAACTAGGAAGAGGGTCCTCCCCTGGACCCTGACCATGCTGGCACTGTGCTCTCCAATGTTAGAACACCAGAATTGTCAGACATCAATATTTTTATTGTTCAAGCCACTCAGTCTATGGTATTGCATTACAATAGTCTGAACTAAGACATGCCTTTTTATAACTTTTTTAAATGTCTTTTTTGGATACCAATATGGTGACTAAGAGCCATTAACTATCGTTTTTTTTCCAAAAGCCCCCAGGCAAATAAACATGTTTTAATGAAAGGTCAAGGTACTAGAAAAGTTAACACGTTTCTTAAAGTAATAGAGAAGAGTTCTTTACACAGTGGGTGTCTTCACAGTAATTTTTCTAAGAAGAACTAAGAGCTAAAAGTTTACCTTTATTTCTTACTCATTGCCAAATACACGGCATTTCTCAAGTATCCTCTACACGGAAGACATTCTCTTGCCAGATCAATTGCAAGACATGCTGGAAGAGAAACATCTGCTTTCCACATCTGGGACCACTTTGCTGGTTTTGCAACAGAAGCCTCAACTAAAGTCAAACCGTTGTAATAACACTGTCCTGGGCTCCATTACTGTGGCTGCAGCATGGAATGAAGTCTGGGGAAAAGGTGAACTAATACTAGGATGTGGTCTCAAATTAAAGGACTATTTTCCAAAAGCAAAACCCTACTAAGAAGAAACCAGGAACAATTTCAGTAGCTGAAAATAATCCACGAACATTTTGATTTGCTCTTCCACAACAGACACTGTCTATGAAGACAAAAGTGATCTCTGCCCCCCCCCATAATAACAAAGAAAGCCACTTCCCATTGTTTTGAGAGGAAAGAAAAACAAATGCTCTCCGTGAATATTTATTAAATACTGTATTTATTTACTAGGGCTGCTGTAACAAAATACCATGGAGTGATTGGCTTAAACAAGAGAAATACATTTTCTCATAGTTCCAGAAGCTAGACGTCCAAGACCAACTTGTGGATGGGGCTGGTTTCTTCTGAGGCCCCTCTCCTTAGCTTGTAGATGGCCATTTTATTCCTGTGCCTTTACCTCAACTTCTCTCTGTGTGTGTGTGTGTTGGGGGGGGGGCGGTTCTAGTCTCTCTCACAAGGAAATCAAGCATTCTGAATTACGGTGCCCCCAGTGGCCTCACTTTAGTGTAATTACCTCTTTAAAGATGCCATCTGCAGATGCAGTCACATTCTAAGGCATGTTGGGTTAAGGACCTCAACATTACATTCTAGGTGACAGGCTCTGTGTACAATACACAGACTAGCACTAGAATCCAAAGAAATTTAAGCTAAATTGGTTCAGCTTTCTACAAAAACACAAATCTGAAAATTCATGGAAAATTTTGGCAAATCTGATTTTTTTGCCTTGGAAGGTGAAACATGAGGCCATGGAACTGATTTCCACTCAAAAGAGGAGGTGATACTGCTGCTGGGAAGGGGCTCTTCTGAAGGAAGTTCACTCAAAAAGCACAGGTGTCAGGTGACCAGCCACATGGACACATGTGACTCTACTTCCTGGCCAACTTCAGTGGCATGTCCGTGTTCCTCTTGGTTCTTCTTTCAGACACAGAGCCTTGGAGACTCATTCTGCTGGACAGTTTAGGTCACTGGTTTGCAGCTTCCAAAAATCTAGCTCTGTGACAAGTTCTTCTGGGAAGTCTGGTTAATTGGGTTTTTACCTGGCAATAAGAAAATCATAGCCCCTTCCAAAAGAACTTTTCAAGCTTCACCTTAGTTCTAAACCTTTGACTCTTCTTGGAAGGAACTATAAGTGTCAAGAATTCCTCCTTTGTTTAGGGGGATACAATATAACTTTTTAATAAAAAACGGGTTCTCTTCTAATTTGTCATTCAAAGGAGCCCAATAGGCTTTGCATACTCACAACTTCTCTTTCTGTTCTCTTTGGAAATCTGAGAAGCTAAATGTTCTTAGCTTTCAACTGACTCCTTTCTCTCTCTAGCCATCATTCAATAGCCATAGTTTCTCATCCAACATTATTATATATGTTCTATTACTATATCATTGAATTCTATACAGAAGATACCATTTACTTCTCACCTATCCCTTGTCCCGACAGTTATTTTCACTAGAATAAACCACATAAATCTTTTTCTTTGCTCAAGTATATAAAGTGTCCCTTAGTGCTTATAAATTGAGGACAGTACACTCAGGAACAGTGAGGGAGTCTTGCAGAGTTAAGTTGCCCTTATCTAGTGACGCCCATAGACTCAAGGGCCCATGCACAGGACTAGCTAAATTCTTCTAAAGTCTTAGATCTAAACTTTCCAAGGCTACAAGTTCATAAAACAAAAATACGTCACTGATCTGCCCATAGTAGTTTCTTCATGAATGAAAATGAGCTGAATTTCGGTGGCATGGCGCCAGTACTGAAGAATAAATAAGTGGGGAGGATGTTAACTCATCCAAGCACAGAGCACAGAAAACACCCGTGCCTGGAACCAGAAATCACTGAACTAAAAAGTGAGTGCTAAGTCAGGTATGATACACACCTGTAATCTCTGATAGCCCAGCCTGGGCAGTTAGCAATTAGAGACCCCAACTCAAAAATTTTTTGAAAATGGGGGATGTAGCTCAGCATTGCAAGTGTTATTTCTGAATTTTTTGTTCTTTCTTGGCTAATAATTATCATTTATTTTCTATGCCTCTTTTCTCCTCCCTGTCTCCTCTGTGGCCATTCATGGTAACAGGTCTTTTATCTAAGCTACTTTTTATTCCTCTCTCAAACTTCTCTGCCTTCAGATTTCCAAATCAAGCTGATGAATCCTATGCTTTTCCATTGCCCTCTGACACCTGATCCCTGACCCGAAGCCTGTTGTTCTGGGATCTCACACCCGTTCCCTGCAGATGAGACTTTCTGAGCCTTGGATTTGGTAACACTCAGGACACAGGGTGAGCTCTGTGAGCTGCAGCCATGTTTCTCCTCAAACGTGGAAGCTCTGCCTTCCTTGCCTTGGGGTAAGGGGGTTTTCCTTAGAGACTACCTTAGGAAATTTGTTTGGTATTATATTTTACATAATTTTTTTCAAATATAGCAAAAATCTAAAGATCTGAAAACCAGAAATACTCTTGTCTGCAACATAATTTATTATCTGGTGATAGTATTTAGATACATTAGTAGGCCTTGATTTAACACCAGGTGACCTCTCTTGAGACAAAGCAACTGAAAAAGAAAACTTCAAAATGTGCAAAAGCAATAAATATCAAACTTTCTGACCTAAAAGGTATAAATATAAAATATCAGTCACTTCTGGAAACATCTTAAGGATATCTGGCAACCACATGTTCATAGGCAGGTGACTGGTGATGGCAGTGCCTCTATTCAGAGCGTATCACCTCAGATCCAGCACAGTTATCTTCATGTCTTTTACCAACACGTGTTTGCATATCTAGGAAAGAAAAATAGCAGCTTTACATTGTAATGTTTAACATACGATTCTCATTAAGGAAGGAGTGTGGGTTTCCTAATTTAGGAATTTTCCCAGTTTAAACAATATTCCCAACCAGAACGAATACACTTATGTTTATTCATTTTCAAAAACAAAAAAATTATTTGCAGAAGCTGTCAAGTAATTTCCACTTTAAATAAATTTTGACTTCAAAATAATGTTTCAGTTCACAGAACCCTTAAGCAAATAATTAGAAAGAAAAGATGTAATCAAATAGTGCTTCTTTAAGGCTGTATAAAGCTAATCAAAAAGCATGGTTATAATCCAGGCATGGTGGCCTTTTATCCCAGCACTCTGGGAGGCTGAGGCAGGAGGATCACAATTTCAAGCCTAGCCTGAGCAATTTAGTTGGTCAAGACTTAGCAAGATGCTGTCTCAAAAGAAAAAGAAAAATTCAAAAAGCCCTGAGCTCAGTCTGAAGACCCTGGGTTCAATTTCCAGTATCATAAAAATAAATAAATAAAAATGAGAGAGAGAGTAATTAGTTTCCACTATGAAAAAAATTATTTTAGCCAAATCAAGCAGAATTGATGAAACTTTTACTATTAGGTTCTCTAATAATTGTATGCCTATTTGAACTCTCAAGAAAACATTGTTTAAGCATCATGCAAATACATAAATGGATAGGTAACTTTATGTATGATCAGCTCTACTACAGAGATCCTGCCATCTCCTTGCAAATTAAATAATAGAGAAGTCAGAGATTACAAAGACTGATAGTCTGAACTAATACTCCAAAATAAGCTGTTCAGTTTTTTATCCCACCATAGACGGCTGCCATTTTTCTCCTTTGAAAAAGAGCCAAGTGGGGGAGGGGTGAATGAATATCTGCAAAATAGCCTCACGGTCTACTCACACTGAACAGCCGGGGGTCCTTGGTGTGAGGATGGAAGCCCTTATTTTTACAAGCGGAAACCTCGAGCATGCCAGCATTAGTGAGCCTGAAGATGCCAGTGCTACATTTTAGGGTTAAAAAAGGGAATAAAAGTACAGATTACTTGTAACTCCCAGGTGCTTTATCTGAACAACACAAGCATAATGCACATATTCCCCAAATGTGACCAAGGAAGAAAACAAAAACGAGGAATTCCACGGTGATTTTTTTTCAAACTACTCTTTCCCTGACTGGTCCAGAAGACAGAACTTCAGGGGGAGGTACCTGCAGGACCATAATGGGGACAGAAAGCTTTGCTGCTGTGTGAGATCATAGAAAAGTTTGACAACCTCCACCACCACTGATGAAATTATAGGACACAAATATTATTGACTTTTCTAATAATGATAGTGCTATTCATAGCAACAGAAAATATTTACTGAGTACTTGCTATGGGACCAGGAAGTATGCTAAGCACGTTACATAGACTGTCACCTCATCTCATCTTCATTTCAACTCAGGATGCACAGGGACAAGGGATGAAGAAACCGAGGCTCACAGTGGTCAGGCATCCTACGACTTGGTGCGACCAGGATTCCAAATGTGTCTGACTCCTATGGTTGTAATTATTCTATAATAAACTTGGTCTCCCAAAATGAGGGCAGTTCTGGAGGTAATTAAGCTAAGGCTGGGAAATTTCTTATAATAAAATGTAATGTGGTAGAAACAAGATCTCAAAAATCAAGCTGGCCATGGTGGCACACACTGTAATCCCAGCACTTTGGGAGGCTGACGCAGAAGGATTGCAAGTTTGAGTCCTATATGGACAACTTAGTGGGACTCTGTCTCAAAATTTTAAAAGTGGGAGTGGGATAAAAAGAGCCAAGGCTCTAGCTCAGTATAAAGGGCTTAGGTTCAATTTCCAGTCCAAAAACCAAAATCTCAAACAGCAAACAGGGACAATAACATCCCTCTTAAATGTTATCCATTTTGCAGCCACACTAGAAATATTGCCACTGACAGGACCTCAAAAACAAGTCTTCAGAGGTGCAGATGCACAGACGCTGGGACTGCCATGTCTTCTTCGAAGTCCACCATGTGCCCACCTACCCTAGGGCCACGACCTGCTGTGTGGACAGACATGGACTCGGAGTCCCCCAAAGCTGTCATTGGATGCCCTCCAGGGTCACACTTACTCTTTATGCTTTGGGGAACAAACAATGGCAACAGCTTCCGGCAACATGAGCTGATAGGAACAGTGTGTGTGGAGATCCACGCTGGACAGGAACGCCGTTTGGGTGGGATGTGTCTGTAACAAGAGAAAAGGATGATCGCTAGGGTAGCTGACGCTTAGCCAAGGCCACAGCCTATTCAAAGAGAAAATTCTGTTTGTTCACATTTTTCTTTTTTATGCTCATTAATTAAATAAAGATTTTACACAGTGTTTTGCTGACATAATCCTTCAAAACATGCATTCCAAAGATTTTCTCATTTGGAATAAATATTCCAAATACCCAGTGTCGTGTCTTTTCTTCTTACTGGAAAAAAAAAGAGCTGGAATCTGGGCATGGTGGTACACATCTATAATCCTAGCACTTAGCGAGACTTGGTCTCAAAAATATAAAATTACCAAAAAACTAATAAAAAGGGCTGGAGATGTAGCTCAGTGTGAAGGCCCTAAGCTCAATCCACTGTATTGGCCCAAAAAAGCTGGAAATCATTTGCCAAAGGTTTGAAATACATTCTCATTTCATCATCACAACTCATCCACAAATATTTATTGTAGGGTCTCAATTTCACATGAGACTCAGAAAGGTGAAGCAAGCAGGTTCACAGTTGGTAAGGAGCAGAGGTTTCTATGACTGGAGACCCTGAAATGCTTACATACAAAACCATAGACACGAAATCTTTCTCTACGTATCCCACGTTACTGTGCATTGTCCTCTGGATCACTGTTCCCTATGAAAAGGAGGATGGGAGTCCCTCGGTTGTTAAGGATGTTTGGGACTCATCATGCACAGCAACTGAATACTCACACGATGAGAACGAAGAGGAGAATATACATCCAAAAAAATCTTCCAAGTTTCTGGCTATATACAAACTTATTTTTATAAGAGACAAATCAGAGCTTCATATTTGAATATGAAAAAATACATGCTTATATAATGATTAAAGATTCACAATAAAACCTAATGACTCAAAAAAAAAAAAAAAAGAACATGACTATTTAAATCATGAAATAAAGGTCTTTGGTACACACTAGCTGGGTTCTGGCTCTATGACTCACTTATAAGGCATGGTGAGGATGACCAAACCACTTCTTGTCCATTTTGTCATTTGTAAAATGGATAATAATCATTTTCTTCATGGAAGGATATGAACACGAAATGGAACAATCCATGTAAAATTCTTACACCAGGGTCTAGCATGTAGAAAGGAACCAAAGTGGTTTGCTGTCATTACTGAGTTATTTTAATGTTATCATTTACTAAAGGGCATATACTCATAGGAACAGCTTAATGTCTTTTTTCTTTCTTTTTTTTTGTACCAGAGATCGAACTCAGGACCTTGCGCTTGCAAGGCAGGTGTGGTGCCGCTGAGCTAAATCCCTGGCCAGCTTAATGTCTTTATACGCACCAGGGTATGTTACAGAAATGAAAGATTTTTCAAACTCTTCCTACCTATTTAGCAGAATGAAAGCAAAATCATCTGGTTGTATGCACAAAGGTGTTCTACAAGGAATGTCACTCTTAGCCTATACAGAACTAGAGTAACAGAGGAATGGAAATTATCCCAACATTCTCCATGTGTAGCTGATCCCACTCTAACTGAGCTACCTTCCTTGCCCTATTCTCACTTTAAAAATCCAAATATTTACTAGGAGTATGAATGGAGGCTCTGACAGCTTGTTACCTCATCAGGCATATTTTCTTTGAGTAAATTAGAATTTTCTATGCTTTGGTGAGGAAGTAAAATTTGTTCAAAGGAACTTCTGTGACAGGAGGCAGCAAGCAGACTGTCAAACAGACAAATCACCCTAGGAGTCAATTTATTTCCAGACTAAATATACATCACATGACCATCTGAGCCCTCCATTTTCACCAATTCTATTCTGAGGAGGCCATCTCTCCCCTGGAAGAACGGTGTTCCCATTCCCTGACTCAATGGAAATAAAAGTGATGGTGATGATGATGATGATAAGAGGAGCAGATGCCATTTATTGCAATTGAATAACCTACCAGGTACCGAACTAATCACTTTCTATGAATTATATCACTGAATTCTCACAAAAAGATGAGATCAGTGCTGTTTTCATCTCCATTTTACAGATGAGTAAACTGAGGTAAACAGAAGAGTAAGTAACTCACTGAAGTTCACACAGCTAGTCAAACCACGAAGTCTAAATTCAAATTCAGGTCTGTCTGATTCTGATTCAGCCTTTCCTTCCTATTAATAATTCACATTTTTAAAATAAGTTAGTTCTAGAATTTGTTGCTCTTATTATGCTCTATAAAAATCACCACAAAAGTCATTAAAACCACTGATGTTTAGAAATGTAACACATCTGTATCTTCATGTAACCACAACAATTTGATACAATTGGATAAATGTAAAAAATAAAGTTCTGTAATTCTAGAACTGTGCCAAATTCATAATTTAAACAACTTAGATTCATTACTACATACAATAAATACTGGGAAGTTCATAGGAAAAATGTTTGTTTTTAATTTGTGAATATTTTGTATGATAAACTAGCACTGGCTTGTTAATACAAGTGTGTAATTTAAAGAACTATAATTTTCAGTTTGTTGCAATTTATTTGCTATAATTTGTTTTGAGTTAAAATATACTCTTGTTACAAAATTATATCAAGCTAAATAATGGCTTTTAAATGAGCAATTTCCAAGTGAACAGTAACTCCTGTTATTTACTGTTAAGTAAAGCAGATAGATACATGGCAAGGTTTTGCAAACTCCTTATTATAAATAAATTCTTGCATGTGAGAAGTAGATTATACTTCTCAAAGGGTTTTCACATCTGGTATCTTGTTTACTGCTCACATAAATTCAGTGAGGAGAGAGTGCATTCACTGGCCTCATGCAATCAATGATAAAACTTGGAAATGAGGGGAGGAGTCCTGACTAAGGGCACATAGTGATTTACAGGTGGAGCAAAATAAAGTCTCCTCAAGCTTCCTATATTAGTACTAAATACTTGACAAGTGTATGGGGGATGCATGTATGTTGATGCCCCTACCAGTACTTTTCTATAAAATACAAAATGATCACTGATTTTTCAGGGGCTCTCAGAGGTGCCAAGGATGTGCTCTGAAAATCTTCTTGGTCAGCATTCCATGCCAGTGGATGGATTGCACCTACCTGCTCTGATTTGAATGATGATGTTCCCTCCACAATTCATATCAAAGATTAATTTCCAATGCAACAGTATTAAGAAATGTGGCCTTGGGAAGTGAATATTAGCACCTCATAAAACATCTTGGGATTGAAGGAAGGTGCTTTCTTGCCCTTGCCTTTTACAATATGAGGACAGCATCAAAGCAACACCTTGGAAGCAGAGATCAGCTCTCCCAGATAGCAATTCTAGGGTCTTGCTCTTGGTCTTCCCAGCCCCCAAATACTGTAAGAAAGAATTTCTTTTAAAAAATTACCTAGTCGCAAATATTTTGTTATAGCAGCATAAATGGACTAAGACATTACCCCAGGTCCTGATATATAAGGCTGAATGGAAAAGTTGTCTATTATATGGATTGAATAGGAAAGAGTATCATTACCAATAGCAAGAGTTACAATTTTTCTCAATTTGTAGCCTAGAAAAATAGGCTAAATATCACTGGCATTTTCTCATTTAATATCCTCTATCATATGAAATCACAATAATTATGATCTTTATTTTATGAATGATAAAGCTGATGCTCAGGTTGGTTGAGTGATTTGCCAGTGTTCCTACAGCAAATTCTTAACAAGCTGAGATTTATACAACTATTTGATTTTTAAGCCCCTTTCTGGTCCTATCATGGCCTGGTAGAGGTCAGAACCCAATATTCTTGGCCCTATCCATTTGCCCAAGTCCATGGCTCTTAATACATTAATATATATACCCTTGGGCCATTGGAGTGGTGCTGTGGAATGTATGAACCCTATTTGATATATATGGGGAAAAAATAAGAACCAAAATATATTATGTAAAGGTACAAATTCCCAATCATGAATGTCAGCATATTGTATACCTAAAATGCACCATTAAAATTAATGGAAAACAAAGCTGTTTTAAAGAACAAATTTTGAAGTCATCTAGTTTAGACACATAGAAAAAGGAAAGAGAATATCATAACCATCTATCAAGTCAGTTTTTTAAAAACCTGGCTAACCACACTAGACTATGCAAAATCATCAGAAAAAGTCATCTAACTTTCAAACGTTACACTGTCTTTATCAGCTTGAGGTGGTACCAAAAATGCTTATGATGCTCCTCAAATCCAAATTTGACAGGTTTAGCCACAGCCTAACAATGAAGAAAAAGCTTGAATATGAGGACATGTGTTATACTGGAAAAAATTTAAAGTCTATTGAAATTAAGCTGAATTTCTTGCAGAGGAAAATAACAGACTGCACAAAAATAAAGTGGACTTAAAAGGCCAAACATACATGGATCCATCCCAAAGAGAGGAGACCGTGTTGATCCTGAACACTGAATAATTCCTCTACGTTCTCCACGTCACAATAGTCTGGTCCTGCAGACTGCTTTGGCACGATCACGTGGGTAATAGTAAATTCATTATGTGTCTAGAAAACAATTTTAAAAAGAATAACAGGCACAAGACGAAAGAATCTGAATAGGATATGTGATGCTTTGCTATTGGAGGGCACCCTACCATTTGCACCACCCCGACCCCACCACAATGCAAAACAAAAGTCCCATATATAAAAACAGATTCTCTGTGAAAGACATAGTCTGTTGTTTAGAGCTTGAAACACATTTTCACAGCAGAAAGTATATCATAGATAGCAATTAGCATCCTGAGGGACAAGGAGTCCATGGAAGTTTAGTTAATAAATAATGTCTTCACATATTAGATCTATAACAAAAAGTGAGAACAAAACCAAGGTGGGTTTATCTGGAAGAAAAGATACCACCTACATAATCTGTTGTGTCACTGAGGGGTACCTCTAAGAATTGTGGAGGTTGATGATCATTTTTAAAAAAATTAATCATGTTTTATTTGCCTTAAAGACTTAGGACTTTCTTCTAATAAACTAGGCTTTGCCATAATTTTGACAATGTTTTGACTTTCACAATTACACAAAGAGAAAAGCAAATTACCCCTCTCTGGTAAAAGATAAAGGTTGAAAAGAAGAGGCTCCTGAGGTGGTGATGTGATGCTCTGTCTTCCCTGGCACAGGCTGGCCTCTCCATCCCTACACAGTACCATCCTCTCTAGCAGTAAGGCCATCTGGCAAGTTGGACACTATTGCTTCAGCCGTGATTGCAAACCTTTCTCCCACCCTCCCCAGACAAGGGCAGGTTTCCATGATACCCTGCACTTCCAATGAGAGAACTGAGCCCCACTTCCTCGCTCTTCATAAGCATCTTGTAAGCTTCATGTGGCAGAGACTGGGGCTGTTCCAGGCCACTGGATGCCTAGCAAGGTGCTGGCATATCCAGATATTCATTAAATGTTTGTCTGATGAATGAATAATGAATCAATGAATCCACCAACCAAATTAAATAAAACATATGAGAGGGATGAAGAGGCATCAGGCCCTAAAGGGTGAAAAAGGTGACTAGGGAGGAGATGACAGGTCATTCTGTTCTTGTCACTGGTGGTTTCTTCTCTTGGAGTAAAAATGATGATGAAACACTGAAATTCAGCAGGAGAATGTATGAAAATAAAACATAGTGTTCATACTAAATGTTAAAGCCTGAAAATGTGCCTGGACCCAGAAATATAAACTGATACTTATAAGGGGCTATGAAAGGACACTTCAAAAGACATTCTTCATCTTTATTGCAAGAGGAAATTAAATGGGTCCTCTCTCATTAATCTCCTTCTATTCTGACATTGTCTTCTATCACATACTTCTGGCAACATCTTTCATGAATATGGCCAGTAATTACAGACTTTAGTTTGCTGAAACTATTACTTTAAACTTTAAGAAAACAAGAAAACTCTAATTTCATTCTACATGTATCTGAAAAAGGATGGCAAAGACTTTGTTTCCATTTTTTCCTTTTCTCATATTTTTTTCTTTTCCCTTCTTTCCTTTCCCCTACCCTTCCCACTTCCCTTACTCCTTTAGACCTTTTGGGCAGGGATACAGGGAAAAACTAAGAACCAAGATACATTATGTAAAGGTATAAGATCCAATGATGAGTGTAACTGTATGTATACCTAAAATGTACCAATAAACTTAATTTTTAAAAAAGGATGGCAAGATATCTGCCACAGGTAAGAACAGGTAGAAAGTTAATGATAAGAAAGTGTGTGAGACCAGGAATTGCCGTGAAATTTGATTTAGCAACCAAAGTGAATTTGTAAATCTGAAGACTTGTAATCTACCATTTTTTCTAAACGAAGATTTAATTTATAGCTTGATTCCTTAAAACAAGCTTTGATAGTGCCTCTGAAATTTTACAATTCATTTTCTAGAGACATATTCCATGAACAATGACAGTAGATTTATGAAATTAATGTATGTATAGTAAATTTCATAATATTTACAACTCTTAGCAGGCTTTTTATTCTGCTGTGCTAATCACAAGAAAGCTAATACTATTGAAAGCATCTTGTGCAGAGAGATTGGAATAAAAGACCATACCAGTTTCCCACAGAGTATTCCACAAGTTTCTATTCCTCTTACTGTGTTGGATTCGGCCAGCAGCAAGAATCTGTGGCAAAGATCTCTTGGTAAAACCACACATCTCAATCCTTCAACCACCAAATCTAAGGCACAGAAAAAGGAGAAATCCTATATCCTGTCCTTTAAAATTATTTTTTTGAGTGTAACTGTAGTTATATATACAATTCAAAAATGAAATTACCACCTGTGTAATTTTCTGTATTTTGTTTTAAAATTCTTAAAAACAAACATTGACTAAAAAGAAAATAAATATATGTGTAAATAACTTTATAAACAAAGGGGTAAATTGTAAGCATTTTTACATATTTGTGGCCTGGAACAATTATTTCCATGTATGTGTGTATTTTCTTTTGGTGCACAGCAAATACACCATTGAATGCAGAGGCTGCATAGAATACATTTCGCCTCCTATAAGACACAGAGCAAATATTTTTCATTATATTTACTATGTGTTACTTGTATTCAGTGAAAATTAGTGATCAGCAAGCAAAAGCAAACTTTAGGAAATAACTAGCAGAAAAGTAGTTTATAAAATGGGTGCCTATCATTATTACTCTTTTAAAATAATTAGGCATACATATTCCATCTGATAGTGTCTCCCAGAAGGAATTCTTTATTTGATTCCGGGTACTTGCCAGTACAGTGCTTACAGGGTTAACCAGCACTAATTGGTGGCAGAAATATGTACTCCATTTGGAGGTTAACTATAAATATGCAGGAGATCCTCTCCATTCATGAATAATGCTAAACATATGAGCACAAACACTTTGTGGTTGAGCAAAAGTCTGGACAATTTTTTCTGTATCTTCTTTTCTCTATGCATTAGTGTTTACCTCTAAGATTTATGAGTTTCTTAGTTAAAATACACAGAAGAAAATGAATGCTAGGAATTCTCATTTACAATCTGTATTCAATGAAAAAAGACATTCCCATTTGTTATAGAGTCACTTTATCTTCAGGTGAGTCATGTTTCCTGAATTTCAAAGTTATATATAGTAAAAGCTATAGAACACAGACAAGTTAGTTCTGCCATTCATGCCACTGAATGGAAGAGTCCTACTACAGTTAGTAAGGAAATGAACAGAACCTCGTAGATGCTGCAGGGAGATGGTTCCATTAGAGGACCCTCAGCATCTTGAAAGGTGCATGACATCACTTACTCTGCACAGCACTTAGAGTAGCAGCTGGCTTTAAGGCCCTGTTTACAGGAGGTGAATGGCTAGCATAATTGGTTGCTTCACTTTTGTTAGGTTGATCTGCAAATACATTCAGCAAGGAATTGTTTTGGTGTGCGGAAAAGCAGGAGAGAGCCTTCCCATCAGTCTGCTCCGATAATGCTGGAGTCTCCTGACTTCGCATCTGGCCTCGGGCTAACTCTTGCTTCTTGAGTTGATCTTCGAAAAATAGAAACTGCTCCGTTTCTAGCTGCTGCTGGCGCATCTGAGCAATCCGCTTCCTTTCTGCGTCTATCAGTCTCTGATGCTCCAGTTTTTTGAGAATTTCAGCTTTATATTTGTTCTAAAAAATGCAGTTGCCAGAAGAAAGGGTTAATTTCCAAGGCAAAAACATCAAACTGGGGTTACACACTTTCCACTTTCTAGCAGACAGAGACAGCAGGAGACTGATATGTCCAAAGGAACACTCACGAAACCATGAGGAAAACACGTCACAGTGGAAGTCCCTTAATCTGACTGAGACAGCAGTTCAAAATCCTCTCATTCTTTACCAGAGATAGAGTATGACAATCAGGTTCCTCCCTATTCTCCGTACTTCTAAATAATGGAAAATCAAGGTCAGGGGTGTCTGCTCACCCTGAATAGCCAGAAGATGGAATAAAATGTCTTTCCCCAAGACTGCACTGCCACATCTAGTCACCAGTGGCCACATGTGGCTATACAGACTTAAATTAATAAAAATTAATTTGATGCCTCAATCATACCAGTCACATTTTCAGTACCCAACAGCCACATGTGGCTGCTGGCTACCATACTGGAAAGTGTCAAATAGAACATGTTCATCATCGCAGTAAATTCTGTTGCATAGAGCTGACCCAGAACTTTCAGCATTTGATTTTAAGATTCATTCTCTGCTAGAACTTTAAGGAGGAGGAGAGTCACAAAGAAATAATTCTTAACATGTGTTCTAACTGGTTCTATTAGAATTTATCAGGAATTTTGTTTAAAATGCAGAATCCCAAGCTCCTCAGTCTCAACAAAATATCCAGACATCATTAGATCAGAGAATAAAAAATTTTAATAAGCTTCCCAAATGGTATTGCTGGAAACTAGACTTGGGGAGCTAATGTAAGGTGGAGGTCGTGAAGGGACATAGCTTAGATTCTGCATTACTAACAAGAGTCTGGGGGACAAAGGTACTGCTGATAGCCAGGGCTTACAGGCAGGTCTGTTTATCTGTCCTACGTGTGGCTGCTGCCACTCTACCCTCACAGACTTCTACATAGGACACTAGTGTGCTTGGCAAGGCAATCTGTGTCACTTAAGGCAAAAGGTGGCACAGCTGCTGAGCCTGCCCCCCACCCAGGGATATCCTCCAGCAGAACAATGTCTGCCTTGTTGAGTGTGGACGACCCAAACTAAGCATTGTTCTCCCTTGCTGCTGCTCTCGTTTGCTCTACAAAGTAATTTCTTTCACATTTCAAATCGAATAATTAATATCCACACTTCTAAGCTCACCCTTCCACCACTTAGTTAAAATATCTTATGCAAACCAGCCTTCTGGCCATGGCCATTGAAAGTCCAGACAGAGGCAATGAAATTAAACTGAAGTAAGGGTCAGGTAGGTGGCAACCTCCCATGTAAACAAACGCACACACAAACACAGAAACCACAACACTTACAAAAATGCAACAACACTTGAGAATTCACATTTTAAACTTGAATATCTTACAGATTAGTCAATCTCTTTTTTCAACACCTGTCTCTTAGACATCATTATCATTTTCACTTTTTATTTCATAACAATCAGAAGTCACCACCCTTTGGTGCTGTGATCACTTTTCATCAGTATGATTAGCTGTTGTTCTATCTATATGTATTGTTCACTATAATACTTAAGAATCAAATTCACATTTCCAAGGCCTACATAATTAGCCACATCAGAAATCATACACTTTTCTCACTACATCCAGTTGCCTCTGTTCATCTAAGAAAAAGTAGCCATTTGGATTAAGATTACATTGGCAAAAAAATGCCCAAAAGTTCTGTTTAAATCTCTGTAGGAAATTTATTTTCTAATGCACTGCTTCATTAGATGTTATAGGGAAATAAAAATACCACATCTTTGGTGCAAGTACTTAACCTGAACATCAACATGAATTTTTTATTGGTTTCACATCACTGCATCTTTAATTTTTAATTTAAATGCATATGACATTTGAAAAACATAAAAATGGAATTCAAAAATATTTGCACAGAAAACAGTCATGAAATAGATGAACCAATTGAACTTACTTTGCTTTGTAAATATTCTTGGTATTCTATGTTATATTTCTTTAAAAGGTCCTTTTTCAATTCATCTGTCCTTGGAAATGCAATCTCCTTCAGTTTCTTTTAAAAAATATAAGTATACATATCAATTCGTGGGTTTTCTGTATATTCTTTCTGATAATCAGCTTAGAAGGAAAAACAGCTGGTACGTTTACTAGAAATTAAGTCATGAATAATCAAAGATGATGACAGAAAAATAAATTTCCCTATTCTAGGGCTCCAAAATATAATTTTTAAAAGGGAAGTTAAAAACAAAAAAGTATCCCCTTGTAAAACCTTTATTGATCCCACTGGTTAGATAAGCTTTTTGTTTAGGCAAGTACTCCATTTTTAGGTAGTAGGTTCAGATATAAATCATATAGCATCAGAGTTACAAGGGAACACTGGAGGATGTGGGGCGATAGGATTCCTAGACAGCAAAACATAAGAAGCAACCATGACACTTCTCATAAAAATACAGATTCTGAAGCTGTTGCTAGATGTACTGCATTAACATCGCTAGAGAAAAGGTCAGATAATCGGCCTCTCAACTTCTTCTGCCATACTTAGTGGCAGGAGAATCTGGGAAACCAGACAGAATCCTATCCCCACTCTGTTTGGAGATGAGGAAACAAAGGCCAGTGGTGAACCTATGGTACATGTGCCACAGCAGGCTGTTATCACTGAAAGCTCTAAAAGGTTTGCCATCACTGGTAGGGAAATTGTTAGTTATCTTACAACTAGCTGGTGGCCCTGCTAGGACCAGAACCCGAGTCTCCTTCCACCAGGCAGGCCCTTCCACCAAAATGTTTGTTCTCTTAATTCTTCCTCATTTATTTATTCATTCACCTATCCATGTATTTAATAAGCATAAACAAGAGAAAGGTAATGCTTTTGGAGAAGTTTGCTCCTGTCAATAAAAACAACACTCAATTGTAGCAAGAGTCACCTTGGCAGCCTATGACCTTTGGTTTCCATACTCTCTGAGGTTGAATGAATGAGAGATCAGAGGAAAAATGTTATACAAAAACAGGATAATGCAACAAGTGTAAACATTTAAATAATGTAAGTGATCTAACATTTTAACAAAATCTATTTCCAGGCAGCCTCCAGCCTCCTAGGACTAGTAGGAGACCCTATATTCCATAACATGGTAAAATATTTACCAATAGTTATCATGCTGTGATTGGCTTTGCATATGTCTCATAAGACCAACACAAACTAAGACAAATGAGAAACACTGTAAATGCTTATTTAAAAGAATGTATTCTCAGCTAGAGATAGTGTAACAAATGCTTATGATGAATAAATGCATTAAAACAATCTCTTTTTTTTCCTTGATAGTATTTCAGGCAGGCCATCCCTCAACACTTACTATGTATAAGCCCAAATTCTCTAACAGGTAAATACAGTCATGCAATATTTAAGGATGAGGATATATTCTGAAAAAAATGTGTCATCCTGGGATTTTTTAATATGAACATCGAGTGCATTTACACAAACTAAGATGCCTATAATGTGACTATTCAATATAATTTAATAGGACCAACACTGAGCATGCGGTCCATGGTTGCCTGAAGCATCATAATGTGGTCCATGACTGTGCTAGAACTCTAGCTTGCCTTAAAAGTTAACACTGGTCCGGCATGGTAATGCATGCCTGTAATCTGAGCTAATTGAGAGACTGAGGTAGGAGGATCAAGTCTGAGTCCACCCTGGAAAACTTAGCAAGATCTTGTCTCAAAAAAGAGGGGTGGACAGGGTGGTTGGGATGTTGCTCAGCACTCCCCAGGTTCAATTCCCAATATCACCACAACAATGATAATAATGATGATGCACAGTATTTTTTTTTGAGACAGGGTCTCACTTTGGAATGCAGATTGGCCTTGAACTCACTATATAGCCCAGGCTGGCCTCAAACTCACAATGGTCCTCTTGCCTCAGCCTCCCCAGTGCTGAGATTAAATGCCTGGGCCAGCACACCCGGCAATGCATAGTTAATTGTCAAATTGTCATTGGGTTCAGGGCTATACAAAAAAATGTAACTAAAACCAGCCAAAATGACTGTTTCAAACAAGTACAGGAAATTATATAACCATCCTCTCAATTTCTGGAAGGAATCGAAATCATTCTTTTTTCACATCATAAGGTGATAGAGGTCATCCTCTTTCTTTTATCCACCACCGTCAATTAGACACCACACACTGGCTCAGTTACAATCACTAAAAGAAATCGAAACATTGTAGCTAATGGAATGAATTTCTTGTGTTCAAATTCTCCAGAGGAAGAGATAGAAGAGGAAAGGAAGGGGTTGGTGAAACAATAATGGATACTGGTGGAGGATTTGCTCCCATAGTGGAGAATCAGTCCCACAATACCTTCATAATGTCCTGCTTTTCTGGTACTGCACATTGCTGGTAATCTCGGTGGCTAGGAAGCTTTTCTACAAACAAGCTAGAGAAAAAGAAAACACATACTCAGTATTATATGACAGCAAAAGCTCAGTGATAGCATCTAATAGGAGAAGGAACATCCTTTTCAAAACTGACATGTTTAATGACATTATTTAACTGATAGTCTTTCCATCTACCTTTTCATTAGAGGTTCGCATGAGTATTATTTTGGCATTACAAGGTAGTTAAGCTTAGCAAACTAGGCATTGAAGCTAACAGGATTAAGGTCAGGATATGTCCTCACTGAACAGGCCAAGTCTTTGGTCTTTCTCAGGTCCTGGGCACTTGATCCCACCAGAGCACCCTCTGATTTCTGTGTGCTGCTGGGAACCAAGAGGATGATGCAAAAACTTCAGAGTTTGGAAAGATCAATGTAAATCCCTTCTCAACCTGGAAAAAGACTCAGATAATTACTGATGAAACTAGCACTACTGGGTATATATCAAAAACTCTTAACTTAAAATGTGTAACTAAAAAAAAGAAATAAAACACAACCAGAACCCCTAATGAATTAATAGATGTTGATTAGGTGTTACTTTTCCACCACCTTTGAGAGAAACAAGATGCAGGAAAGTGAAGGGAAATCCCTGCAAACCAGGTGTATCATTCCCAGGGAAAGTGAAGATACTGCTTCCACACGGAAAAGGAATTCTCTTTTTTATTCACTTATGTATCCCAGCCTGAAGGAGAGTGCCCAGCTGATAGCAAGTACTCAATAAAAATCTAAAAAGTGAATGAATAGCTTTTCCTTGACAGATCAGAATGGGATGTAAATGCTATTTCTGACCAACTATGGAAGACATTATAATGACTGATTCTGTTGTTTTCAACCACATGTACACAATCATCATGTCATTTTGCCTGATGATTAGGCCATGGGGAGAAAGGAATGGCAACATAACTTCCACTTCTCAAATGAGAAAATTAATGCATATACAAGCAGAATAAAAGTTGTTAGCTCTCTCTGACTTCATAAACAATAAAATCACAAATACTAAGAGCAGAAGGAACTTTAGAGATTCTCTTCTATAAGTCTCTCATTTGTAGACAGGGAATTGAGGCCCAGAGACAAGAAGCAAGGCACAGATTATCATACTGCTAATGACATGAGAGAATTCAATCATTCTGAGTACTCAGTAACTGATCGGGGTATGGTGGCTTTTCTCCTTTACTGAACTTATGATTCCACATCAGTGTGAGCAAAACTGGAGCAGAAAGTGAAAAACGTATTATCTGTTGATAGCACAATGCAGAAACAAAATGTTTTGGAAAGTTGTGGCTATCAGTGGTGGGAGATAACTTTCAATTTCATATTTATTGATTAATTTCCAAAAAACAACTGATTTTTCCAGGTAGGATGAAGGTTATCACCCATTCTCTAAATTTCCAAGCTAAAAATTCAAGGTAAATAACTTGGAAATGTATACGTTATATAAACTGCTTTCAATTTTGCCCTTGGTACAGTGACAATGTGGTTTTTAAACTACCTCATTTTTTTCAACTTCTTGACTGCACTCAGGGTAAGCACTCCCCAACTCAAACAGTGAAATTTTAAGTGAAATAATCCAACTACAAAATGAAAAGTACTGTATAATCTCCTTTGTATGTGAAATGTTAAAAAGTCAACCTCAAGAAGCAAGGAGTAGAATGGTGGTACCTACAGGTTGGGGGGATGGGCACGGGATTGGGAAGATGCTGGTCAAAGAACACGGTTTCAGTTCCATAGGTGGAATACATTCAGGAAGGCCTGTGTACCAGTGTACACATAATAAATGTATACTTAAAACCTGCCTACAGAGTAGATTTTAAGTATTCTCACTATTTAAAAAGTGGTGAGTATGTGAGGTAATGGATATGCTAATTAGCTTGATTTAGTCATTCCACAATGTACACATCTATCAAAATATCATAAATATAAATATACATAATTGTCAATTAAAATAAACTAATGAAATTAACCAGTATGTGATTTCAATTAAAACCAAGAAACAGGAAAACTTTTAGTTTAGAGTAAATAATTATTGAGAAGAAAGGATCTCTCTAACCAGTTAAGTTGCTAAACTGGTAAGAAAAGTCTAAATTCCATTTATATTCATTCTTAAGCTATGTTATTAACAAATTCCTAATGGGAAATATGTTATTTCTATATGGCTATTTTGACATAGCCACTTTCATTCAACATTTTGAAAACAGTTTTGTACATAGGATTATTATATAGCCAAATAAATAGTCTTAAAAAATAATAAGTATTATATGGATCTGAAGGACTTCCCCCACAATCACATCTTTTCTGTGTTTCCCAATTTGTCCCCAAGTCTCAAATCCCCATTTTAAATTTTAAATGTGTGGGTGACATGTTCCAGCTGCTGTAGGTGGAACTGTAATAGGGCTCCTGCTCTCAGAAAGCTTGCATTCCTGGGAGAACCACCTAACAGAAATTCCACTTGTGCAGAGTGAGATGCCCAGGTTACCGGGCAGGCCTGCTGAGAGTCTCCTCCCCTTCCTGACCTTCCACTCTCTCCTGAGCCCCAAAGAGGTGTCTGGATACCTTCTCATACATTTATTGGGAACTTAAAAACCTGAGCATTTAAAGCTTTGAGAAACAGTACTATTGGTTTGAATACAAAAACTGTTCTGGCACCCCACACTGCCACATGAAAATGTCATGTATTTTTTTTTCTAATTTCTCATTTCAAAGGTCTCTAAAACCAATAAATAAAAAAAAAACTTACGTTATAAATTTATTGTACAAAACAAAAGCATTTTCCAAGTTTCCTTCTTCCAAGTACACAGATGCCATCCTCTCCATTTCTACTCCTGACCTAAAGTAGCGGCGAGGTGTGATGTCTTCATTGATGGTAATATTGCAGCCCAGCTTGCTCAGGGCACGGACTCGCTCTTCTGGGCTCACGGAGACATCTGTATGGTCAGGCATAGCAGCTAACTTTTTCTGCAAAGCACAATTTATATACATGACTACGATAAGAAAAGAATACAACTGATTAACAGATAAATTCATAGCAGTGAATATGCATATTAGGAAAACAGAATGAGCCCAATTAAACAACCTGACGCTCAACCTCAAGCTTCTAGAAAAAGAAGAGCAGGACAAACCCAAAGCTCATGCAAGGGAGGAAATTATAAAGATCAGAGGAGAAATCAATGCAATGGAGACTAAGAGAATGATACAAAAAATCA